TGTAATGACCCGCCAAAAACACAGACTGAGAACGCTGCTGATTTCTGGGATTTGTCGTTGGAATGAATGCCTTGTTGAGATTCTCGCATTTTGCTGTGGTTTCCAAGTCTGTGTGTGTGTGCGTGCCTGCTGATTTGCATGCCCGTCTGAGTGCTTCTCGACTGAGTGTGTGTGTGACCCGCAAGGGTACTTGTTGGTTGCAAGGCCCCGCAGGGCCGGTACTTACCTGTGGCCGTGACTTTGAGGGTTGCAGCGGGGAAAACACTCAAGTAGCGGGGGTAGGCCAGCGACACTTAAAGCAGCGGGGAAGGCCGGTACCACTCAAGTAGTGGTAGGAGTGTCGGGTACTGAAGGCCGAGCAGAAGAAGACAAAAAGTTGGCATTTTTAGAGGCCCAGTAGCGGTAGGTTAGAGGTGGGCCGGTACCAGTGCAAGTAGCCCGGGTCTAGGGCCTGTCCGAACGATAGCAGAGCCTGCAATGATGTTTCCCTCCGAAAGGGGGGAGGTACCGATTGATGGGAGGCCGCTCGGCCTAGGAAGTCACCGCTCAAGAGGCGACTAGGCCGCTATATCTTCCGGAGGGGCAAGTAGCTCCTCCACATTTGCGGTATGCGAGGATTGGCGACATGCTGCTGGAGCACAGCGCTGGACTGGTACAGCGCTGCCTGGAGGTGAAGGGCAGTTGGGCGCTCAGCCTGGCTATGGCGAGCAGCCCAGCCTGAGGAGGAGGAAGAAGGAGGCGAAGGAGGAGAGTGGCGAGGCACCTACCTGGCTATGGTGGACACCATCTTCATCACCTTGTTGGGCGCTGCATCTGGAAGGCCACAGTTGGGGTAGTGTCGCATCAAGGCAGCTCGAGGCAGAGTTAGGCATGGCGGCTTAGTCAGCAGCGGCATAGCTGCTTTGGGTTGTCCTTTGGACAGGAGTGCAGCGCCATAGCTGCTTTGGGTTGTCCTTTGGACAGGAGTGCAGCGCCATAGCTGCTTTGGGTTGTCCTTTTGACAGGAGTGCAGCGCCATAGCCTAGGCATGTGAGAGGAGGAAGGAGGGAAGCCATAGCTATGGTGGACTTGTTATTGTTGTTGTTGTTGTTGTTGAGTCAGCAGTAAGAGGGAACTTCGGATATTGATTCTGGTTCATCCACTCATTGTTATTATTATTATTGGGAGAAGAATAAGATTGGCGAAGTGAAGGAGGAGGAGGAAGGCGGAGAGAGAAGGGGGGATTTGTTATTGGTCCTGCTCGTGTAGATCTTCTTCTTCCTATTCTTCTTCTTCTTCTTCTTTCCCTCTTTTGTGGTCTCTATCTCTTTGCAAGTGCTTTCGTCTCTTTCGCAATTGGGTGGCATTGTCTTTCATTGTGAATTTGCACTTTGGGAATGACCAGGATCGTAACAATTGGTATCGGAGCGGACTTACTTGCTGGTGAGAGGTGTTAGTCACCCTAAACCTAGTTGCGAATTAGGTCAGGGCTAACCTAATCTCGGATTAGGGTTGGGAAGTTAGGGTTAAGAGGGGCAGTGAGGTATGTGGATACTGCCCCGACTTGGTTAGGTCATGTAGGGTCGACATCAGACCTGACCAGGTTGCGTGTGTGATTGGATGGGGTGGCGAGACACAAAGGAGGCTGATTGGAGTAAGCGAGAGGGAGTAGAGAGTGAGAGGAACTCGCACCTAGAATCTGCACTTCAAGAAGACATTGAGTGACTTTTGGGCTTCCCTTCAAGAGGGAGACTTGATGGGAGGCTGCCATATCCGCGTCGAAGAGCTGCAAGTTGCTACTTTGGTCTTTAGACATCGACGGGGGATCCGGCGTTGTAGCAGGGGTGTAGGGAGGCCGTCTTAGTCATGCTAGGGCACTTCGTGTAGTGGTAGCTAGGGGTCAGGAGGACCTATGAGAGAGGGGCATGAGTCTTTATCCATCTTTGGAGGCCGGGCCTCACATGTAAGTGCCGTGTGACCTGGTTATGCCCGTGGGAGGCCAAGCAACCTCCCACGGGCCTGTCCAGAGGTTAGCAGAGCCTGCAATGATGTTTCTCTCCGAAAGGGAGGACGTACCGGTTGCTGGGACGCCGCTCGGCCTAGGAAGTCACCGCCGAGGAGGCCAGTAGGCCGCTATATCTTTTGGAGGAGCAAGTAGCTCCTCCTCATTGGCGGTATGCAAGGATTGACGACATGCTGCTGGAGCGCAGCGCTGCTTGGAGGTGAAGGGCAGCTGGCGCCCAGCCTGGCTATGGCGAGCGGCCCAGCTTGAGGAGGAGGAAGAAGGGGGCGAAGGAGGAGAGTGGCGAGGCACCTACCTGGCTATGGTGGACACCGTCTTCATCATCTTGTTGGGCGCTGCATCTGGAAGGCCCCAGTTGGGGTAGTGCTGCACCAAGGAAGCTCGAGGCAGAGTCGGGCATGGCGGACCAGTCAGCAGCGGCATAGCTGCTTTGGGTTGTCCTTTGGACAGGAGTGCAGCACAATAGCTGCTTTGGGTTGTCCTTTGGACAGGAGGGCAGGACCCTAAGTAGTCCGCCATAGCCTACGCATGTGAGAGGAGGCTGAAGGAGGGAAGCCATAGCTATGGTGGACTTGTTGTTGTTGTTATTGTTGAGTCAGCAGTAAGAGGGAACTTCGGATATTGATTCTGGTTCATCCATTCATTGTTATTATTATTATTGGGAGAAGAATAAGATTGGTGAAGTGAAGGATGTGGAGGAAGGTGGGGAGAGAAGGGGGGAATTGTCAGTGGTCTTGCTGGTGCATATCTTGTTCTTGTTCTTGTTCTTGTTCTTGTTCTTCTTCTTCTTTCTCTCTCCTCTGGTCTCTATCTCTTTGTAAGCGCTTTCATGTCTTTCGCAATTGGGTGGCATTGTCTTTCATTGTGAATTTGCACTTTGGAAATGACCAGGATCGTAACAATTGGTATCGGAGAGGACTTACTTGCTGGCGAGAGGTGTTAGTCACCATAAACCTAATTCCGAATTAGGTTAGGGCTAACCTAATCTCGGATTAGGGTTGGGAAGTTAGGGTTAAGTGGGGCAGTGAGGTATGCGGATACTGCCCCCACCTGGTTAGGTCATGTAGGGTCGACATCGGGCCTGACCAGGTTGCTGGAGTGATTGGATGGGGTGGCAAGACACAAAGGAGGCTGATTGGAGTAAGCGAGAGGGAGTAGAGAGTGAGAGGTACTCGCACCTGGAATCTGCACTTCAAGAAGACAATGAGTGACTTTTGGGCTTCTCCTCAAGAGGGAGACTTGATCGGAGGCTGCCATATCTGCATCGAAGAGTTGCCATATCCGCATCGAAGAGCTGCAAGTTGTTACTTTGGTCTTCAGACATCGGCAGGGGATGCGGCGTTGCAACAGGGGTGTAGGAAGGCCCTCTCAGTCATGCTAGGACACTTCGTGTAGTGGTAGCTAGGGGTCAGAAGGACTTGTGAGAGAGGGGGGTGAGTCGTTATCCATCTTTGGAGGCCGGGCCTCACAGGTAAGTGTCGTGTGACCTGGTTAGCCCGTGGGAGGTTGCTTGGTGCTTCATGGCCTGTTGGGGTGTGTTGGGCTCTCTTCCTCTTCTCTGCGGTCTTGGTTGTGTGTGTGAGCATGTGGATTGCTTTCTCACCTGATGAATGGATGGATGATGTATCTTGTTCTCAAGGACATATCTTTCTACGGTGCATTGTCTTTTCATTTCTGAACGGTTGTAGGGGTAAGTTCTTGCTGAAAGTTGTATTTTCCTTTTCAGTACGGTAGAGGCAGTTTGGGACTGACTTGGTACTCTTATCTCGTTGGTCCTGGTCCACGACCTACTTGGGACCTTTGGAACTCAGTGGGACCAGGCCCAACGGGACAGGACCTTTTGGGCCCTAATCTGTTGCCGTCAATGCATCTCTTTGCTGTGCTGAACTTGGGGGACATACGGCTAGCAAGGGCATTCCTTTCAAGGGGATCTTGACTGGTCGTACTGCATGTTAGCACATACTGCCCCGCGTTTGTCTCGGCGACCGTCTGAACCCCTCGAAATCTCCATTGCTTCAATTAGTTTTCTTCGGCTGATTTATTGTGGTGCATGTACCTTGTCAGGTTAGACAAGAGGGGATCTCCAGCTAATTTGATCGGGCCCGTTCGATAAGTCAGTCCTCTCTTCCATTTTTTTTTATTTTTATTATTATTATTTTCTTTATTCTGCTGCGTGCCATTCTCTAAGTCCAAATGAATCGCCTCTCCGGCTAGGAGATCTGCCTTCTACTCTTTGTGATTTAATGTATGTTTCTTTTTATCTGAACTATCTATGCCCGGTATTGAGACGAGTGCGCGGAAAGCGGAAAGAGAGAGAAGGGAGAGAGAAGGTGTTCTTTTTGAAAGTGTGAGGAAAGGCAAGAGGAGTCTTCGTCCAAACGTGAGGAGAGAGCGGACCCCTCTTGAGAGATCTACTAACACCCCTTCCTCTAGCATGGCAAACATCTCATCTGCCCAATGGCAGGCCATGCTGGACGCAGCGGACGAGAATGAGAAACCGTACTTTCAAAAACTTTATGACGATGCCGTACAGAGGGAAAGGGTGGCAGAGGCAGCAGCCAAAGCCACAAGCATTGTTGAATAGGTGACCCTCCTTGCAGTTCCGAAATCGAATGATGACCGGTTCCAAGAGAAGATAGCTGCTGCCATAGCAGCCTTGGTTCAACTGCGGACCTTGGAAGACCTTGAGTCCCGTGTGACAGCCTTGGAGCAGCGGAACCAAGAGCTGCAGGCTCATATAGTCAGCCTCAAACAGTCCCAACTGTTTGCCCCCCGTGCTCCTAACCCTCGAGTTGCTGCAGTCCCAGTCTCTCAACCTAACACAGTCCTCATGACAAGAGCAAGTGGAACTGTGACGAGCGCAGGAACCGGTGCCAGCTCCTCAAGCGGCAGCGCCGGCAGTTCTGCACTGGTCATAGTCCCAAATGCAGGAACATCAGCCTAAAACGCCACAGTTCTTACTGGCGTACAGTACAACGGTCACGTAGTGGACAAGCGGGCGGCCACTCTGCCGTCCAAGTACGACGGGAAAGGGGATATCACCTCTTGGATCAGCTCCATGCAGTCATACTTCGAGGTACTGCGAACACCGCAGGAAGACCGAAGCATGATCATGGGCACAAATACTGAGCTCGTCGTACGGAGTTTTATAGAAATCCAAGCTGTTACAGCAGGTTATGAGAGGATTGACCTGACCGAGTGGCTGAAAGTGACTCCAGTAGGAACTCTTGAGGACCTCCTCATCACGCAGTATGAAGACAAGCACGCTGCGCTCAAGGCAAGACTGAAGCTTGAGGCCCTCAAAGGCCAAACATGGAGGACTTCCATGCAGGCTTTGGAGCAGCACTTGACTAGTCTGTTCACCACTCCAAACCTGGGATTGACTGACGTGTCTTGCTTGGATGAAGTCATGGGAGTGGCCCATAAAGAATACCCTTCCCTGCTAGGACTCAAAGACCATACCACTTGGCGAGAGCTACTGACGGAACTAGTCAACCTAGAGGCCAAGGACCTCGCCAGGCATACAAAGGCACCCGCTGTAGGTAGAAAATCACAACGCAAGCGGTATGGAAGCATCAACCAGCTTGCCCTGCATGAACATCGGGAGGCTGAAGATCAGTCCTGCGCGGATGATCTGTCTTTAGATGACGATCTAGAGCCGGACTCCGATATGGGCTGTTCTACATCAGCCATTGAGTCTGACGTGAATGAAGAAGAAAAATTTAATGCATTTAAAAAGACTGCTTCAAGCAAGGGGCCTAACCGTGGTTCAGGTAGGGGAACTATAGCACATCTCCCCAAGAATGCGAAGATCCCTGAGAAACCGGAGGACGCTTCTACCAAGCCTTGGGAAGCCCTCCGCATTAGTCAAAAGGAATGGGAAAGAAGATCCAAACTGCGCGGGTGCTTGCATTGTCAAGAGCCTGGGCATGCTGTGCAGGATTGTTATCGTCTGCAGGGAAACAGGCAAAGGGCGTAGAGGAGTCATCAACACTCTCTACAGCAAGGGAAGCTGAACAGTCAGTTGCAGGCCCTTCCAAGGAGCCTGAATCTGATCAACAGCTTGCTCTTGAAGCCCGAACTGATGTTGAATCCAAGGCTGGTGCAGTCCAAGTACTTTACACCGAGCCTTGGGAAGAGACTAAGGAAGTTGACTTCCACTCTCACCTGGAACATTGGCTGCAGCTCAAGCAGCAACGCCGTGTTCAAGGGAGTGTGGAGCTAACCTTCTTTAAGTTACTCATTAACCGCCGATACATCCGTGTGCTGATTGATAAGGACTAACTTATTTTCCCTTAACGAGATTCGTAAGGCGGGCCTGGGAATGAAGCAAGTGGAGTTGCAGAACCCTTGTCAGACCCAGGTGGGCAACCAAGAGGTTGTCACCTCAACACATGCTGTCAAAGGTATGCGCGTCACTTCACACTGTCACACATGAGTTGAACTTTTATGTCATGGACAAGTGTCCGTTTGGCGCGGTTATTGGTTTGGGTTGGTTAAAGGCTCATTGCCTAAGGACCACGTGGGCGGATAATCAGTTCGTGGTGCGTGATGCCAAGGGGAACGAGCGTACCGTTCTATTGGACGA